CAGTAAGAGGCAGTTGTTTTCTCTTAGAAACTCAAATCCTAGTGAACAGAGTGACGGCAGATCTGTGACACTAATTCAAACAGACTTTTTTGAGTCTTGCCAAATAGCTGTTACAACACTTAAGAGGCCCATCTGTAGTGTGACTGCATCCAGAGAAACAGCACACGAAGGTGTGTTGTCTTTTGTGAAGCTTCCAGATCTTCATCAGTCATGGAGTCATTTGGTCAGGGTGGTCATAGGTGACCTGACAGGTGTTCTGCAAAGTTTCAGGCTCCATTACACATATTTATTCTAAGGAGGGAAGAGCTGCAGCAATGTCTGAACCAGTAACGTCTTTATTTTTGCTTAAATTTGATTTCCGCTCTTCAGGCCAACAGACTTGTTTCAGTCACAAACATTATTCCAAATCCCTTTCGGTCAATGGTCAACATCGACAGCTTTACTATTTCTGCTAATGAAGATGAGGAGGAGAAGGGATGTTACAAAAGCTAAACTGAAATGAGGAGTCTTTGGCCTCCTTTAGTTAATGCAAACAAAACCCAAGAGAACCACAACGAGCTGATCCCAGGCCTGTGTTCACACATACTCGGAGGATACTTGGCAAGTAAAGAAAAACAGAGATGAGTCCTAGTGTTACCAACGCCACCAGACCCTGGATAAGCAGAGATCTTTTTTTTTTCCAGTGACTAGCCATAATGTCAAAACCAAAACTTAGTGATGCTCCTGTTGAGAAATGGACTCAACAAGAGGGACTGCCCAGATGTCAGCAGCAGATCCAACTCAGATTTGCCTTGGATGAGTCTGAGTGATGCACTAAGGTGCGATAGAAAATAGTCCATTTACCTCGAAGTCTGCATGTTACTCCTCAAGTAATTTGAGAAAATAGAATGCAGCGCATCAGAACAATATTTGCTGAAAAGGGCCATAAGGAACACCCAGTGTAGGGTACACCAAGTTCAGTTACCCCGGCTTTCCACGGGAGCCGTCAGCAGCACGTTACTGCAGCAGCACGTCACAGCTGCTGATAGGAACCGCTGTGGTCAACAGAACCTTTTCCACCGGAGCCGTCAGCGGCGCGAGTCGGCCGCGTCTCAGGAGCAGCATGTCGCGGCCTTTACGCGCCGGTTCTATTTTCTACGTGCGACGCCTCTGAAACGGGTCAAGTTCGACATTTTTGGGGAAAGGAAAGACAGGAAATCGGACGCGGAAATGGAAAGAAGCTCCTGAGATTTTCAGAATAAAGAACGTACTGCCTTCCGGTTGCTTTACTTTTAAAAAAAAAGTTACTAACTGTGCGTCCCCGTGAGAATTTATCACCTAGCTAACAGTCTCCTTTGTTTTTCAGGTCCGTATTGGCGATTATAAAACGGACAGAACATAAAACACAAACTATGATGTAGTTTTCTCCTAGCCTGGCAAGCCAGACTAAATAAATGTATTATTTAGTCTGGCCATGCTCCATTGACGGCTCTCGGTTGTGGGGCGGGTTCTACCGTTGTCTTTCAAATGATCTCCGCATTCCACTGGACAATGAATGTGACATACTCTTGTTTCACTCTGTTGCATCATCCCACCCACCAGGCATATAGAGTGCCCTGATTGGCCCACAAAGCGGATAAAGCTCTGTGATTTGTTCACTAAGCAGATAGAGCACTATGATTGGCCCACCATTATGGACCAATCACAGCTCTTTATGTGTTTGAAACCCCTCTAGAGAGTTGTGATTGGCTAGCCAGAGTCCTGGTAGGAGCTGCGGAGGTTCCAATGGAGCATGCCTAGACCATTCTTTGCAAAGCAAGAATTTGGTCTAGTTCACTAGGCTAGTTTTCTCCTGCTTGTTGTTGTGTTTACTGACGAAGTCACTCGTGTGACTTCGTGCTCGGTCGGTGACAGCTGCTCCCCTGCTGCTTCGCGTCTCGTGGGAAGGGCCAAGCAGCAGCTTACGCGAGCAAGACGTGCTGCTGCAGTAACGTGCTGCTGACGGCTCCCGTGGAAACCCGGGGTTAGTATGCACGTTAACGTGAGACTTCAAGTTTCCCGAAGAACATCATTTAGATGAAGATTTTTCCATGGTGAATCTGAGCCATGTCTCCACCAAGGATGTGGCAGCATGGATTCTTATCTTTATTTGCCAACAATTTCAGTTTGTGTTTCTGAAGTTCCAGCGTGAACTTCCTGACTGGCATCAGTCTTCACTTTTCAGCAGTTTATCGTCTCCTTGACTACACTGCGCTCTACCCAGAAGCAGAGGTGAGCTCTGATCAGGCCACAGTGGCTGGTTTTCCTTTGTTGGAACACTTTTTTTTTTAATGTGGACTGATTTGTAACACTATCAGATCTACCCTGGAGCCAGTTATTCTATCACTGCCACTCAATCTGCCTTCGTCTGACTTTTATTCTACCTACTTCGAACAATGTCAACACACTGTCAGAAGGCTTTTTTGTTGCCACACATGCACATCCTGCCAACTAACAGCTACATTTAGGCAAAACACCCACTAACTGCCAGTTTCTCTAAAGATTAGCTTTAAAAAACATACCACTCTTACAATAAAGGTGCTAAAGAGTTTTTTTTTTCTCGAAGCGAGCAGACACTTTTGTTTTTGCTCCTGCCCCTCATCTTCCCAAGGCTCTTTGTCCTGTCTTTTCAGAGAGAAAATTTGTGGATTCTTCCTGGAATTATATTTTAAAATGATGGATCTGGTCAACTGGTCACAGAACAACATTGATGAATTTTTTACAACATTCAGAACGGAGAAGGGAGCTCCCATATTCCTGCACGGAACGCACCTGGTTGGATACATTTTGGATTCCTGGGAGTGGATCATCGTGTGTCTTTCCCTTCTTTCCATCAAGGATGCAGAAGATGTAGACTAGATTAAACTAGATTAGAGTGGCATAGCAGGTACTAGGAGAACTGAGGCTTAAGGTACTGGAACGTAAATGGTGCTGGTTGCTGGAAGTGATAAGTAATGAGGGTTAGGGTTAGTCTTGTATATAAACTGATACCGATGTAACATCCTGCAGGAATGGAGGGATGGCAAGTTAACGAGTGAGTACAGATCACAATGATGAGTTGTGAAAGGCAATCGTGGTGTTGGTGTCAGGTTTCCTGCTGATTGGCCTTGGAGGCTACCTGGCTTACCGGAAAATTAACGAGCTGTCAAGGAATACTGGCCTGATCCTGGAGCTCAGAGATGGTTTGCACCGTGCTGGGAATTCACAGACTCACATAATTGTCGAGATGAATTGTAAGCTTGGGACTTTGGCCGAGATTCATTCATTGGCACAAAAGATGGATGCCATCAAGGAGAGAGTGGACGAATCAGCACGGATTGGGATAGATTAATGTCCATTATTGGGATTTTGAGAGGTTGAGGACCAACAAACCGTAAGACAGAGAAAATTATCTGTCTGGCCCCAAAACAATTTCTAATCGGAATCTGGCGCCCTTGAGCCAGCAAGGCTACAACGAAAACTCCTCCCTCAGAACATATGTGGAATGTACCGTCGCTATGGCAACTCAACTCTGTCTCCTTTGCTAGCCTGGGCAGGACTGCGGGAAGGCCGCTGAAACGTTCCAGGGTCACTGCAACCCTCCAACCCTCAATGCTCCTCCCCCTATCCACACTGAGGTGACATGCGCTGCTTCTATCGTGGCTGCAGGAACTGAAGTGGGGATAGCCCCAACCCACCACCCCACCTAGTGGACACTTATGTTGTGTTGTCTGAAGTCTGTTTCATATCTGTCTGAGGTGTTTTTTTGCAGAGCAAAAATGCCCTCCCAGTGGAGGGTAACTCTGAAGTGCCTTTTTTTCCCTCCGCCTGAACCAATCCTCATGTAACCCTCTTATCTCTATTAAGGTAGCACGACTCAGGGTTGCGAATTACCACAGTCACCAATTCTTGTCATGTGTCTTGCCCGTGTATGCCTGATCTCTGAAATGCGTGTATTGAAACTCTAATTTCCCTCTGGGATTAATAAAGTATCTTTGATTTAATTGATTGAATGTCTTTCCACCATCATGTGATTAATTTGTCAACATTTATAAATTTTGTAAGCTATTGTATTTTGCAGAAAATCTTCTTAATTAAATGTAGTGATTAAATGTAAACAGAGCAAATAAGAGAAACATATTTGCTCTGTTTACATAGTTTAATGACACCTAGTGGTTATTTACTGGTACTACCACCTTGACAATGACACTCCCAATAGATAAGATGAGGATAATGTATTAGCATTTAATACAGCTGTGTAATGACGTATGAATTATTAATATCAAAACATTGTCTGATAGAATGTTTAACATACAGGACATGACTTATTTCGGCTTACAAACAACCAATTTGTAACAAAGACTAGGCTATGTAAAATGTGAATGAACTTTTATTAGTAACTTTGGTAAGTTTGAGATTTCAATTCATTAAATAACATCGATGGAGGGGGGGCTAAAAAATGCAGCCTGCCTAGTGTAGTCCATTTATTTAATCCGGCTCTGTGTGTAGATGTAGTCACACAAACACAACACGGCTGCGTTCCACCATGCATCGGCTAAAGTTGCCCATTTGTTTTCCTAGTATATGTTTGTCTTTGAGCTTAAGCGCTGAGCCATGACAGTTGCTTAGCAACAGCAAAGTCAAAAGAACAGAGGTGCTGCATTCATCACATGCAAAAACAGCCTTATTATTGCTGAAAGTGAGCCAAACTCCAAGACACACCCAGTTAGTTCATTTGGATGGCAAATCTGAGCGTTGTGAACACATCAGAGTGAGAAAAGGCAGCACACCACCCAAACCCTTAATGCATCAAAAAACATGTATTTTATTATATAACTTTACTTAAAAAAACTCAGAAGAAATAAAGCATAAGAAACTAATGTGTTACATTTGGGTAGAGGCTAGAAACATCTCAGAACCGGTGTGTGACTGAAACCAGGAATATGAACAGAGGAGTGTTTGATCCTGATCCTGATCCTGATCCTTAACGTGTGCCCACTTACCTTGAGGTCACGGTGAACCACGCCCATCTGGTGGCAGTGAAGAACAGCCTCTAGGATCTGCTGAATGCAATGACTGCATGCAAACACCAGGGGGCGTCGGGTTAGTGACAAGCTACCGCTCACTAGCTGTGGCTGAGTGCTTGTTTTGACACTTGAACACCTGATCATGTGACAAAAGTGAAACTAACAAGAGGACGTCTTGCCAACCCAGAGGTCACATTTACTAAACTAGCCTTGGACTAAACGCTGCTGTGCAGGCGCTTTTGCATCAGTCCCCTGGAGCCAACGGTGTCCATGTGTCAAAACAACAGCGATGTTAGATCCTGGTTACTGGAGGCAGGACCATGACAGAGAGACGGAGGTGCAGGAGCTAAAGGAAGGAGATGTGCTGTTCTTTATTGGTTTCCAAAATAATAAATCATGCACATTTGTTTTTTTAAATCACACGACGCTCGTTTTGCTGGACTGAACGTAAACAGTCAATAACAAAGCTTTAGATACCAAGACCCTTAGAACCTCCCAACATCCTCTTCCCTCAGCCCCCCCAGTCTCCTGCGTCACCTGTCAGAGCGTAGCTCTTCACACACGTCACATGCATTTTCTGCTCTGGTATACAGGTGAGATAGATGATGTCATCTACCAGTCTCACTAGTGCTAGACCACCTGCCATCTCCAGCCAGTGGGCCCACAGCATCCTGCTGCTGGGGTTCCTGGTTTGGAGGAGGCAGCGATGGGAAGAGTGTTAATAGGTTTATCAGCTGGTGAAGAAGCAGGCTAAGGGGCCACGGATGGGCAGGCCAGAGTCTGTTTACGGTTACCATCACCCACTAACCTTTAGGTCCCTGTGCACTATGCCGTTTATGTGACAATGATTTACACTTTCTAGAATTTGCTGAATGCAGTGACTGTGGAGGAGAGAGAGAGCAGCCCAGAAGCAAAAAGGGAGAGGAAAAGGAAAAAACGTAAGGGAACAAGGAACAAAAATAGGCCGACCGAACACAACATATGAAATAACACTGGACTGAGAAGACGCGTCTTGTGGGAACAGCTTGGTACCCCTGCAGTAGGGTGTAGAGCCCTGCACTGAAGCCCTAGGCCTGCGGGTCGGCCCGGCCCGACGGCTTGAGGGCTGGGCTTCGGGCCAACGACTGTGTAATAACCTCGGACACGGGCCGGGCGCCTTTATTTTTAACTGAATTCATTAAAAAAACTGAAACACTTGAACGCAGCAGCACCTGCCTGCTTCTCACGCACCGGCACCCGTTAGCTCAGTTAAGGTGTGTGTGGTTTATAAACGCGCCGATATAAACAAATTCTCAAACTGCTGATTGAAACATGTGCCCCTATTCTAATAAGCCATTTTATGTCCACTTTGATGTCAGAAACATTCGTTTATTCTCGTGAAAATGGCAGCATTCTGTTTTTCTGTGAATAAATTCGCTCTGCAGTTAAAAAATTACAGCATTCATTGCTGGTTTTTCCTAACTGGAGAGCGTATTTTCAGAGCGGCAGATTAAATTTAAAAACGCTTTATTAACTGGGGGCGTTTATTTAATCTGCCGCTCTGCAGTTAGAAAATTAGAATGCTGCTTTTTTTTCTAATTGCACAAGAGCGCCTTTTCAGAGCAGATTTAATTTACAAACGCATCCAATTAATATAGTGTTCGTAAATTTCATCTGCCGCTCGAAAAATACGCTCTGTTAGAAAAAAAAGCTGCATTGATGCTGTTTTTCTTTTTTTTCTTTTTTTTTTTCCCCTGCAGAACGCTTCTCACAGATAATTAGAATGCTGAGCGTTCTATCACGCTAAAACATTATGAAAGGTTAAAAAAAAGTTGGGCTCGGGTCGGGCCAGAGAATCCTGAAAACCTTTTCGGACCGGGTCGGGCTGGAGCTCCACCTCCTCGGGTCGGGCCGGACACGGGCTCAGATTTTAGGCCCGTGCATGGCTCTAGTAGGGTGATCTTAACCCCATGTTTGACTAAGTTCAGTGACTGGTTTGCCGGGTTTATTCAGGGAGCTGCTTTTATTGATTTATTAAGACCACAACAAGTAAAGCTGTAGTTTTTACAAGTACAGCTCAGTTCAACGGTGAAACTGAGTGAATCGATACTAATCTGAACAAACACCCGGCCAGAAGTTTTTAGAAAGCCACAAAAATTGTCACAAGTTCTGATCCCTCTCAAAAATAATTGACACTAGGGCTGGGCGATATGGCAAAAATAGAATATCACGATTTTTCCAATATTTTATCATGATTTTGATTTTATCACGATTTTTTATCCATGAATAGCATAACTTTAATTTCGTATTAAAGAACAGAAACATTGAATAAATAAACATTTATTCATATTAGGGATAATCAGCACAGTGCTAACACACTTATATTTTAAACTCACACCAGAGATGATAAAAGCCCCGAGAGAAACAATTACAAAAATCTGTTTTTCTCGTTTTTCAAGTAACTTAACATAAATTAAAATCGTAAACATATTTGAAGTGCAAACATGTCAATTGCAAACGTATTGTGCAAACATTAACTTGTTCAAAATACTATGTAGCTCCCAGTTGCTCATGTAGTGGATAGTTAAGCTCAAATACGGCTCTGATGTGCGGCTGGACCAGAGATCGCTTGTGGTAGCAAAAAACTGCGCATTCTGAATATTTTCTGCAACTCTCTCTTTGCATTCAGCGTACATGCGTGGAACGGCGGTGTTCGAAAAATACTTGCGGCTGGAAAACTCGTAGCGCGGATCCAATGTTTTTATCATGTTCCTACTGTTGGCACGGGACACAAATCTTTAACCAAGCGGTACGTCACTGCATCTGTCACGCTGTTCCATCGTCTGCTGTCTCTGTCGTAGGGAGGGAGTTTTGTGTGTTTCTGTTAGCGTTTGCTGCCTGGAAGAAGCACTAGCCGCTGCAGCCGCAGGCTTTTTAGCTTTAGCTGCCAGCTGGCTCTCATTGTATTGTTTGGGATGCCTTCTTTTCAAGTGATTAAACACGTTTGTGGTGTTGCCATCACTTGCCTTGACGCTCTACTTGTAAATGACGTTTCGCTGCTCTTTGTCGTCTGGGGAAAAACCAAACCAGTTCCATATAACGGACGAGGCGTTCCTCTTCGGAAAGAAAACCTCGTTGTCGCTCTCAGCCGCGGCCGAAGCCATGTTTGTTCACACACAGGTGAAAACAAGCGGGGCACTAATATATTACCTTGACTCACTCTGATTGGTTAAGGGTCAAACAAAGGCGCATCATTCACCGGAGGTAAGTTCCCTTTTCGTTCAGAGGCAGAAATTCAACAGCAGAGCTGTGAATCGCGATAAAAAGGTCTCTCAGAAATGACAGACCGTCAGATGTGTAGATCGTAAAACGGTCTAAAATCGTCATATCGCCCAGCGCTAATTGACACTGTATTTGTGAAGATGACCCAGGATCCTTGTTTAACCCTTTCACTGTCCTAATGGGTGTGACCCCGCAAGGAAAGTTGACCACTGAGCGGGGTTGATGGTTTGTCCCTTGAGGTCCATGTGGCTGCCCCACGACTACGAAATCCCCCACCTCCATACCGCTCTCAGAGACGAGAAGAAACGTACTGCTCCAGTTGCCAGCTAAGATCACCACCCATGCAGTAATTATCCAACAGGAGGCTCCGACCTGTTTGTTTAGTTAAATCCAGGTGGTGATTTTTTTTTTCTAAAAGCTGCATATTCCCATAAAATGCATGTTTTTAGGAGTTGATGTTGCAGCTTTTGCTCCCGTTTCCAACTAACCAAGGCTGATGCTTGAACCCACAAGAGCAAATAATAGTAAAATTAAGTGGACAATTAAAGTGTTCCCTCAAAACATTGATGCAAAAACAAACAGGATCCATGCCTTTTATCAGCTTCTAAAACACATTTACAGATGAACTAAATCTACAACAAAACAGAATCGACCACTCAGGCTGTTTGTGTTACAGCGCGTTCAAGAGGTGCTCAATAAAATAGGAAAGTAGAAACCTCAGAGACGAAACCAAATGGTTCGGATTAAAAATGTTTCACTTAAAACTAACAGGAGAGATTCTGTTTTGAATAGATTTTTATCAACTGGAGAGAAGCAGAAAATCCAAGGAATTGAAGACAAACTTGGGCATGAAGGCACATTAAAGGCTAGAAACAATGGCTGTCTGAATGGTTACTGTTAACATCAGGTTGGTACATTTAGCAGGTTTGAGCTTGAATATGCCTTCATGACCAATCGATTGAATTTCACCCCACACTTCCTCAGTAAGTCCATGCATCTACGTCAGCACTGACCTGGCATCAGCTTCACTATAGTACTCTCTGGCAACAATGTCCTCAAACAGCTCACCTCCGGTAACTCTGAGGGGAGAGAAAGGAAAGTGAGCCAATGCTGGAGAACATCAGCAGAAGGTCATTTCTGTGCTCCAAAAGGTCGAGTGCAGCTAGAGAACGGAGACAAGGTGCAATAAAGCAACTATTTATGAAACATTTTTAAACAACCAGAGCTGCTGCATATTTATAATAGAAATAATTGAATTATTACTAATATTTGTTTGCTGGTTTCATTTATATAAGCATAATTATTAGGGACGTAAGCAAATATCGATATGGCAATATATTGTGGTATTTTTCCCCCCTGCAATATTATATTGATATTCAAAAGCCATGTATTTAATTTTTGGAAGAATTTACATGCAAACATTTGTGTATTTTCTTTTGTTTTCATGCAATTCAAATGCCGACAGCTAGATGGCAGCAGTGTACAATGGTAAATGGCAAATAGCCTGGATTTGATATGGTGCCTTCTAGTGTCCTGGAACCCCCCAAGGCACTTTACAACACAATGAGTCATTCACCCATTCACACCTTGGTGATGAGCCACATTGTAGCCACAACTGCCCTGGGGCACACTGATTCTGATTACAGGGCAAGCACTTAACTCCTGTGCCACCGTCGCAATGGGTTTTGTTTCCACCATTGAAATGCGTATCCCTCTATTATAGTTAAGATACCTCGAGTTAAACATGTTGTGCATCAGTTTGGACTGTTTATTGAATTTTCCTATAACAAAATTAGTCTAAAAATCGCTAATATTGTCTGACTGAATGTATCGCAATATATTGTATTGTCTCTCCTGTATCGTGATACGTATCGTATCGCCATAATTTCACCAATACACATCCCTAATAATTGTGTTAAACATAAGTACCTGTTAAGGCTATAAAAACAAAAGTTTAGTTTCATGTCTTACACTAAAAGCTGAAATGCTGATTGTGTGATACTTAAATTGCATTTGCTGAAGGTCTAATCTAAAGGACGCACGTACAATTTTAATTAAACTGGTCTTAAGATGGACCCTTGAGGAACTCCACAGGGCCGTAGAACTAGAACTGACCTGCTGAATGGAAGAATCCATCAGATGAATAAGTGAACCACCACAGTAAAGCACCCAAAAGCCCCACCTGGTCCCTATCACAGTGTGATGAAGCACTTTAGAAGCGGTGCTGGGAGACGCAACTTTATTTCAAGTCACTGCAGACTAAAGCCTGATTTATGCTTCTCCGTCTGCGTCAGTGCGGAGACACGCAATGCCATTATCCGTCCTTGCGTAGGGCACGCAAGTACGTACGGAGTCGAGCCCACTTTTTTAAACATCCGTCGAACGAGACAGATTACGCAAGCTTGTGATTGGTCAGGATGCCGCTGTTGTTTACAGCGCCGCCATTGCAAAGAGAGCCGAGGATAACTAGCGGCAGACATGGAGCAGCTTGAAGAATACCTCGCGAAAAAACTCTAAAAATATGAATGTTTTATCCTCCCGTGACTGGAGGAGTGAAAAGATGTGCAGCAAGCGTTTTATTTGTGGACGGAAATGACAGGAAACGTGGGTTTAGAGGTGGGGAGCCCATGAAGACGTGGGAGAATGAGAGACAAATATGTCCGTGTTAAAAGTCTCTTATATACACAAAAAACACAATATTAACACACGATCTTGGACCGATACATGACAGGATACCACAGAACAGCGCTACGCCCTCTGGTGTCCTGCCGGGGAATTGCTTTGCAACACTCTCCAGGAGACGGAGAAGTATGAGAGCAAAACGCTTCCGTCAATCCGTGCGTGTCTGTCCCTTGCGGAGCTGACGGAGAAGCATGAACCAGGCTTAACTGGAGCAGAATCCTTACAGCGGCTCATTGAGCCTGACTAGGAGCTTTCGTGACATCATTGCTACTTCAAGTTGAACAGAATCCCTACGGACCATTCTTGGAAAGGTTTGGTGTGGTGTGGCTGAAACTGATGCACAGAAAAGTTTGTTTTTCTGTCGCTTCACCCAGATTCAGATGTTCACAAGTCATTTTTTCCAGGTCCAAGTCCGTTTTCAAGTTTCTTCCAAGTGAAATGAATCTTCTCTTCAGATCCCTTCCATCTAGTCTCCCTGAAACACTCTGTGATCTGATTTCAAGTCATCGGTCGGTCCTGGTCTTAGACTGGGACATGAAAACGAGTCAGCTGCTGTTGGAGGTGACTCTGGTGAGAGCACAGGTTGATTCTCAGGTTAAGATGAATCAATATGAATTTCTCAGTAATTATCCTGTATGCCAAACTAAGTACTGCCAGTTTAAGTAGTGCGTTTGTTTTTGCTGCTCAAGTCTGACTCGTGTCCAGACCTCTGGCTGTTGGAGAAGAGGGAGGTTTGGAGAAAGTAACCACTTCAGTCCAGAGCAGCTGCAGCTGGAGATGAGTTTGGTTCCGGGTGGAGGTTAAAGATGAGTACTGTAGCTGTCGTTGCCCCACTAATTAATAAATGTTTCATTCCCAGCGTTTGACTAAAAACAAATTCAAATCAGACTACTGTAATGAGCAAATGACTTGGCGGTAGCGGATGGCTCTTTAAACCCTGCACCAGCACTTAAAGGTCACATGATGGTCACGATCCTTCTGCTCAACACTCTTTTCTGTTTCATTTCACCACGTTCCTACAGAACATACAAGTACTGATAGTTATCACATGCCGACACAAATAAAACAGAAGTGTACTGTGAGATTACCCATGATGCACCTGTCACTCGCCATCTGATTGGCGTTTGTCAGGCTTTAGGATCTGCAGAGTGTTGATTTGAATGAGCGCATGAATGCCAGAATGGAGCACTTACAAATCAAAGACCAGATAGTGGAATCCCTCCTCTGATATGCTGTCATGGAGTCGCACTGCGGAGGAAGACAGATGACGGGTTAATAGATCATACGACAATAGGAGCTAAATCTGTCATCTTAAATTACGCTCGGACACATCAGCACATACAACACACACCAGTCAGTGTGATAGGAAGTGGCACGCTTCCATTTCCAGTTCATGACCGCTATCATTGCAATAGCAAAGCTGCATCATGATAGTAAAATAAGCACTAAGAAACCATTTATTGGATTAAAGATGCAGAAATTCATCCTGAAAAGATAAAAACAACTAAAGCAACTAAACAAATGTACCAAGAAATTACAAAAACGGACTAAACTACCATCAGCTCCTAAACAGGTCACCGAGTCAGGTTCTGCCTTTGCGTCGTCACAACTCCATCAGCTGAATGCAACAAAAACTGGTGGTTCCCAGAATATCTAAAATTAGGATGGGAGACAGATCTTTTAGTTATCGGGCTTCTCTCCTGTGGAACCAGCTCCCAGCTTTAGTCCGTGAGGCAGACACCTTGTCTACTTTTAAGACTAGGCTTAAAACATTTTTATTTGATAGGGCCTATGGTTAAAATCTGATGTTAGACTAGATCTGGACAAGTGGGGGAGTAGAGGGAGGTGGAGTGTACAGTCGGTAAAGACGGCTCTCCCTTGCCCTGCCTCCAACATGCCTTCATCTAAAAGGCTAGGTTATCCAGAGTTATCTCTGTAGTTTTGCTGCTGTAGGCTTAGACTGCTGGAGGATACACTGACCACTTTTCACACGCTACTGCTTTCTTCTGCAATCTGCTCTTTAACTGTATTATTTTCTGCTATTTCAGCTGTTAACTTTATTTTCTCTCGAAGTGTTTTTCTCCCCAGAAGAAGCTACAGTGATGTTCTGCTGAGCTGTGGTGGCCTCATGGAGGAAGCCATCGTCTAGCACACTGCTGCTAACCACTTAAACATTCTCCCTCTCCTGATAATAACTTTTTACTCTCTTTGACATTGAATGTGCTACTACTAGTTTACCCGTTTATAGATTCACAAGAATAAATACAATAACATTTATCTCTCATTAAATAGAATTTTTTACTAAGAAATCACAATGTAACCATAGAAACACTACTTGGTATATATGGTGTGTGCGTGTGTGTGTGTGTGCGTGCGTGCGTGCGTGTCTTCTCCACGACTCACTGGGGATCGAGGATGGCTGCTTATACTGAGCCAGGATCCTCTGGAGGTTTCTTCTTGTTAAAAGGGAGTTTTCCTCTCCACTGTCGCTTTATGCTTGCTTAGTATGAGGATTGCTGTAAAGTCACTGACACTAGTCAGTGACTTGATGCAATTTGCTGGGTTCCTTATATAGGAAACATTTTTTCTGATTGGCTTAATGAACTGACCTGAATTGAAATGTTTTTTTTTTATGTGAAGTGCCTTGAGATGACTCTTGTCGTGATTTGGCGCTATATAAATAAAAAATAAATAAAAGCTCCTCAGCGGCAGCTCTGCGCATCTCTGACCGCAGCGGCGCTTGTCTGCTGTGCGGCTGCCGGCTTGTGGAGCTCTCGGAGACCTCTGTGTTCCACCCGGTTTGACCCAGCGGTCAGCCCGGCGTATCTCTGACTCAGAAGCTCTGGTGTTGTGCACAGTTAACTCCGGTTGTAGCTAGGTTGCTACCTCCATTAGCTAAGCTCCCACCTCCGCGTTAGCTTTGGGTTAGCTTCAGGTTAGCTTGTAGCTAGTTCGACCGAGTGTCGTCAGTTGATCCCAGCCTTACAGCCCCACCCTAAGCTCCTCCTCTCTTCCCTTTTATGGAATTGTCTGGGCTTGACGGAACCTAAGACACGGTCAAAATGGCGGTGGTGGCCACCTCCCATTTCTCTTCCAAAACGTGTTATTGGAGCCTATGGAAACCCATTATCCACATATGTATGTGTCGATGGCAGCGAGACTCAAAGGAACAGTAACATTAGGGGGAAGTCTGAAGTTTTACAGTTTTCTGGGAGTTCTCAGTGATGGAGCGGAAACGCCCTACACCAGTGAGATAGTTTTCGTTTGTTTAGAAGCGCCACACCTAAAAACCTGCTGGGACTGGGAGGGAGTGGGAATTATGTTATTGGGATTTGGATGGGAGGGAATTGCATTTTTCCCTTGCTTTCTGGGATTGGGACAAGAGGATATTTTACAATGGGAATGGGTTGGGAAAGCAAATTAAATTAACTTCCATGTCACCCTCTCCTTTAAACACAGATTGACTGTACTTTACAGCAGATAACATGCCAAGGCCTTGGAGTTAGCTGCCAGATGTCACACGACTAAAAACAGAGTAGAGGGAGCAGAGTGCTGCTCAGGATGAGCGTGGATGTTAGGAATCAGGCCGTCTCTTCCACTGGACTGAACCAGGAAATGATGAATGCATACAGAAAAGAAGCCTACTGCTGGTGGTACTGAGCCAATTAGTCGCACAGCCAAATCATCTTGATTTGACGTGAGATGACGTGTAAAGAGAAGATGAGCACCAGGATCCATCTGAAGGAGGGAGACCACCTGTAGAATTAGCTACCGATGTTTTATCTACTCTACCCTTCATCTCAGAGATTACAACACCCTTGTTTGTTTAGGACACAGCTTTGACTTACAAAAAACAAGTGGAAATTAGGGAGAATTTGAATTTACTTAATGAATTAACCACATTTTTAGGTTTAAAGACAACCAATTATGCAAAAATGACTTTTTGCATTTTTGTGCAGCGTCTCCACTGCCTCTGAGACTCTTGATGTGAAGTAAAAACAGCCCAACAAGCTGAATCAGCATTCACTGGCTCCGATTCACCTCAATAGACCAATTGGCTCTTTTCTCATCCTGCAGCGCCTGTTCCATTTCTTGAGTGATATTTTCATTTTTGTCAACAAAAACATATTTGTGATGAAAAAAAAAAAGGATTCCCCTGGAGGAGCTGGCTCAAGTGGCTGGGAGAGCCCTGATGAATGATGGGGTGATGCCGAGCAGAGCTGTGGCTAGCACTAGCCAGCAACAGTCTTTAGTTGTTGCTGCTTCAGCCCCGTTTCCATTGATTGGTTTGGTCGATGCGGGCTGGGATGCTTTCGAGTGCCTCCGACTCTACACCGCTGAATTAGCCAGCAAACGGATTCTTACAGATAAATGGCTGTATTTGATGTAGCGCCTTCTAGAGTCCTGGAACCCCTCAAGGCGCTTTACAACACAATCAGTCATTCACCCATTCACACACACATCCACACACTGGTGGGGATGAGCTACGATGTAGTCACAGCTGCCCTGAGGCGCACTGACAGAGGCGAGGCTGCCGAGCACAGGTGCCACCGGTCCCTCCGACCACCACCAGCAGGCAATGTGGGTTAAGTGTCTTGCCCAAGGACACAATGACAGCGACAAACTGAGCGGGGCTCAAACCTGCAACCTTCCGATTACGGGGCGAGCACTTAACTCCTGTGCCACCGTCGCCTACAGAGGAAGCTGTCCACGCTATCTGTGTCAAGTCAGCAGACGAGGGAGGTTTAGGTACTTTTAAATAAAGACTTTTGGGTTTTTGCCACAATTAAGCATAAATTAAACAATAAAGTGGCGCGCAGGAGACCAGAGCCAATCAATGGCACCGGTGTTTTTTGTTTGTCATCAACAGATGTTCAATGTTAGTCATGAATGTCTTTACGTCAGTTAGCTTTTAGCAGTCTTAGCTTGTTTTTGCTAATATTAGCAGGCTACCATGCTATTGTAAGCGGGTGATGGGTTGTGCGCATGTGCCGTTAACCTTGAACTGTCGGACTGGAGGGTGGAGTCACTAGACTCTCTGTGTAGACCTTCATTCATCCGCAGGCTGCTGTGGTGTTAACAAGTGAAGCTTCCAAATAAACGGAGACGTGTTCCCGTACTCCAAAGGTATTTTTCGACCATCTCTTATTTGTCCTGAGACCACGGGCTCGAACCTCTACAGCTCGCCCGTTACATTGGTGGCAGCGGTGTTTGGCGACGTTTACCCCCGGGACGTGGCTCGTGAGAAGGCTACGCAGGACCATGTTCGGAGGCTCTTTTACCGGTACGGACAAGGACAAGCAGAGCCCAGTTTGGACTGAGAATGTGTGTAACGTCAAAGTGGAGCTGCCCGCGCCATTTTGTGGTGACGGTCGTAAACTCTTCGCTACTTGGATTAAACAGTTTGAGGCTGCCGTTCGCGCCCAAACCCGAGGAGCGGGAAGACGGAGCTACACCGCCACTTTGTCTGCTCTTTTGCCCACTAGACTGGACGGGGCTGCTTTCCTTTTGTGGGACAGCCTCCCTGCAGCTACGCAAGGTGACTTTGACCATGCTAAAGAGAAGTTAAATGAGGCATTTGGACAGAAACAGTTCATCTTGTACTTTCAGACCTGTGTTTCTGCTCGGCCTAGGCTGGCTAATGAGAGTTTGGAGACATATGCGGCTGATATTTCGAGGCTTGTCACAGAGGCGTTTCCTGAGTATGACGCCGGGGCACAAAATGGAGAAAAGTTTAGGCGTTTTCTCGCCGGTCTGGACCCAGGCCTCCGTGCTAAATGTCACGAACAGGGGGCTACTGATCTAGACGAGGCCCTGATTATTGCTGGACGTTGTGAGCGGGCTAGGCTGGCCTTGGGCGTAGGGACGCAGACCGGCAACTTCTCCTCGAATGGCCCGGTGACGGTGGCTGCACTTTCTCCTGCTGGGACCGCTGAGAGGGGCTGTGATAATAAGGACACAAAGATTCTCCTTGGTGCTGTGGAGCGTTTAACTGCAAGGATGGACAAATTACAAATGGATGTGATAGATATGAAGGCGCGAAGCCGCGGTGTGGAGGAGGACAGACGGGCTCGTCTGCCAGAATGTGGAGCATACATGGACCCGCGTCTTCCGTGTTCGTGCGACTGTGGTGGAGATGGCTGCCGATCCACTGCTAGGGCACACCAGCCGGAGTTTCACGGAAGAGGGCGCTCTTCTCGAGGAGGACGTTCGGATGGACGTAACGAGGAATGGCTTGCTCCTTCACG